TTGAACCTCCAGCCTTCTGGTTAGCAGTCTAGTACCTTAGGCACTATGCTACCAGAGCTCCCTCATGATCATTAGCCATTGCAAAAAAACCAAACTCATTGCCGTCAAGTTGGAACCAACTCATTGCGACCCCTCCTTGGGTTTCCAAGGCAGTATCACTATGGAAATAGGTTGCCCAACCTTCCTTCCAAGGAGTGACTGGTGGATTTGAACCGCCAGCCTTTGGTTAGCAGTCATATGCCTTAGGCACTATACCACTAGAGATCCTCATTAACCATTAGAAAGATGCAAATCAAAACAACAACGAGATACCATCTTGCCCCAACACAAATAGCAAATTTCAACAAGACAGAAAATAACAAATACTGGTTAGGATATGGAGAGTTTGGGACTTTCATACACTACTGGTGGCACTGTAAAATGATACAACCACGGTGGAAAGCAATATGGTGATTCCTTAAAAAGCTGAAATTAGAAATACCATTTGACCCAGCCATTCCATTACTAGGTATATATTCTAAAGAAATGAGAGCTAGGACAAGAAGAGATATCTGCATACCCATGTTCATCAAAGCACTGTTTACAATAGCAAAAGGATGGAAAAAACCTAGGTGCTCATCAACAGAATAATGGATAACCAAACTATAGTATATACACACAATGAAATACTATGCAACCCCAACGAATAACATAAGAGTTTGCAAAACACCACATACCGTGGATGAACTCGGAGGACATTATGCTGAGTGAAATAAGTCAATCACAGAAGGACAGAAGCTGTATTAGTCTGTTATTGTAAAAAGTCAAAGAAAAGTTTATTTATGGAAAGAAATTTTCTTTGTTGGTTATCAGATGTGGAAGGGAAGGGGAGGGAACACTGCTAGAAAGGTGGACACAAGTATTGACTTGTGTGAAGGGAAGGGCAATGTACCAACTTGAGTGATCAGCACAGTGGCACTGAGGAAGAGGAAGACATAGAGAGGTGCATGGGAGGTAGAGACAACAAAGATGAACCCTTCTGCACACATAGTACTGTGTTGTCAGTGACAGCAAAGTATAGAGTTGACAGACAATGTTTCTACAAGTGTATTTGTATATTCTGTAATAATTTCCAGGTATATGGTAGAGCTGACAAGGGACAAAGTTGTAGTCACTTGGCCACAGCCAGCTACCCAGAGGGAGTGAGTAGTTGGCCCTGTGGGTTTGAGACCATGGTCACAGGGGACATCAAGTTCAATTGGCATAACATACTACACAAAAACATTGTTCCACATCCTACTTTGGTGAGTAACGACTGGGATCTTACAAGCTTTCAAGCTGCCATCTAGATGCAATGATGGGTCTCTCCTTGTCCAGAGCAAAGAAGAATGAATAAAACCAAAGATTCATGGAAACAATTAGTTCAAGGGACTGGCACACTATGCAATCCTTAGCCTATATGACTATGAGACCAGAAGAACCAGATGGTGCCCGGCTACCACTGTCAACTGCTTGGAGGGGGATCTATATAGGAGATCCTGGATAGAGTGGGAGAACAATGAGGAACAAAACTCAAAGTAATAAAAAAAAAAAAAAAAAAGGGACCAGGTTTGCTGGTCTGACAGAGCCTGGTGGAACCCGTGAGACTATGGCCCCTATGGTCTGCAACTGAACCCACTCTTGTGGTTTCCAGCCAAACAAAAGACAGGCATATGAGCTGAACATTTACATTAGGCAGATACACTCCTTGGAGAGCTCAATCATGGGAGAATAGAAGGGCTGTATATGCACAGGGAGACAAGGAGGGGGGTGGGCAGGAGTGCATAGGAGGGAAGGACACAGAGAAGAGGTAACTATGGGGAGGAAGTGGGAAAAGAGCTGTTGCATTGTAGGAGATTGCAGTCAATGTTATGAGACAAAGTGTATGTGAACTGCTGTACGGAAAATGAATTTGCTCTGTAAACTTTCACCCAAATCACAATAAAAATTAAAAAAAAGAAAAATACCTGTTTCAAGAATAAAGTGTTTCTATACTCTAAACTTGCTTTATTCTATTTTAGATCTCCTATCCCTCAACACCTTAATTGGTGACAAGCAGAGATTATCCTCTCCATTTAGTCTGAGAATTTTCTCTTAGGACCCCATCCCCTCCCTCCTTTGCTAGAGAGTGCAGAGCCCTAGTCGTCAGTTGCACACTTCACTAACCCAGCTATCCCGTCTTCATTCTAGGCTCTTTCCCAGCTTTCTAGTCAAGTTAGTTCCACATTGGCAAAGTCCCAGAGCCAATACTCATGGCTCCGAATTTGGGGATCGTTTAGGGAGGGTGAGATTGCTGTGCAGGTCAGATACCTTAAAACCAACCAACTGATCGACAAAACTTCCTGCCTCAGGTATATGGGTACGATTATGCTTAGGATCGCCAGGAAGCTCAGTTAAATTTGAATTTCGGTATGTCTTTTACAATAAAAATTTAATTGTTCATGCGAAATTCAAATTTAACTGGGCATCCTGTATTAATTCCAAGATACGCGGTCTCCAAAAGTTCTGCAACTGCATGGGGCACCCGAACGAACAAGGCGGTTTCTGGGCCTTACCCGTTCGGGGAACCAAATGTGGAAACCCTCCCCAGGCGGGCGAAGTAACTGCTGCAAGTAGACAGGCCCTGGCTCTCGCGTGAAGAAAGAGAGCTTCTCTTCTGGAGCCCAGCCTTGGATCTAGGGGTCAAAAAAGTTCGTAACGAACTTCGACAGCTCGTGCTTGGCCCTTCAAGAATCTTTGAGGTACTTCAAGCACCTGCCCCCGGCAGGAGGCTGGACGCCCGACTGAAAAATGGCGCTTGTGGCGACTGCCAACTGCCAATATGGCGGCTCGGGGCCGCGCCCGCGCTCCCTGACTCTCCGCCTCTGTCCTTTCTCTGGAGGCGAGCGCGACTCACGTCGCCGTGCGGCAGTTGCCCTTCAGCCTGGGTAGTGGTCCTGGCTTCCACCTGCCCCGCGCCATGAGGCTTCTCAATTGGTGGCCGGTGCTGCTGTGGGTGCTCGGGCTTCCTGCCCGCGGCCTGGAGGGTGAGTGTGGAACAAGATTGGCGGCGGGGGGCGACAGGCGGCGGTACGTGAGTGATGAGGTCTACCAGGGCCGCGCTCTCAGCTGCGGGAAGGCGGTCAATGCGCGTCTCGGTTCTTCTTGGCGCCCTTCTCCCGGTGTCCGGCATCTTTCCCCAGGTGCGTTACCGGCTTGTGGCGGTGGTGGGGGTTCCACCCGGATGCACCTCAGGCTCCTCGCCGCCGGGTTACACTCATTCCCCTTTCGGCGGGCGTCTGTTAGGAGTACCGTGTATTAAGAGTTTACTGTGGAATATCATGTGGTGAACACTTTATAAATAGTAATAATAATCATAACAAATTGTGCCGCCGGGTGGGTTCCGACTCATAGCGACCTCAGTGCATAACAGAAGGAGACACTGCCTCCTGCGCCAATCTTCACTTCAGTCGTTATATTTGAGCCCATTGTTGAAGCTGCTGTGTCAGTCCATCTCATTGAGGGGCTTCTGTTTTTTCTCTGACTCTCTGCTTTGCCAAGCATGATACCAAGCATCCATGTCCTTCTCCAGGGACTGGTCCCTCCTGATAATGTCCAAATACGGCCATCCTCGCTTCTAAGGAGCATCTGGCTATACTTTTTCGAAGACAGTTGTCCAGGTGAGAGATAGCTGTTGCCTGGACTGAGAAATGTTGGTGGAGATGGAGAGGAGCGGATGGGTTCAGAATGTATTTAGCAGGGGAAATTAATAGGATGGAGTTATGGTGCCTGTGCATCTCTTTGAAACATAATCATCATCATCATAGCTGCTATTTATGGAGTGTTTATCATGTACCTGTTAACCGTCCACTTGATTCTAACTCATAGTAACCCTATAGGACAGTGTAGAACTGCTCCATAGAGTTCACAAGACGGGTGAAAAGGTCTGGTGGTGCAGTGGTTGAGACACTCGGTTGCTAACCAAAAGATAGGCGGGTCAAACCCACCAGCCCTCCCCTGGAGAAAGATGGGGCATTGTGTTTTTGTAAAGATTTACAGCCTTGGAAATCCTATAGAGCAGATCTACTCCATCTTATAGGGTCACTCTGAGTTGAAATTGACTGGATGGAAGTGGGTTTGAGTTTAATCTTTCACAGGAGCAGACTGCCACATCTTACACTGGTGGAGGGCTGGTGGATTCTAACCACCAACCTTTCTGTTAGCAGCCGAGCACTTAACCATTGCACCACCAGGACTCCTTGGTTATTGTGTTGGATTGGGTTCTCTAGAGAAACACAAAAACCAGCAAAGTATATATATATATATATATATATATATATATT